CGAAAATACGCGGAGTCACGTATTTTATGAAATATACGTAAACGTTTGCCTCCTATGCGCCGTGTGCGTATGCATGGATGCCGGTACAACCGAGCTCGACAGATTGGCTGCTTCGAGTTTCAACGGCATTAGTGCGTCGTGCGTACGATAAACGAATTTTCCAGGGAGATACACCGAAGAAACGGATGAACGATCCTTTCGCGAAGGGAACGCTACCAAGACTCGAGACACCTGCGCTTCCCGCGATAACCGCCTCTTCGCTCAGGGCGGAGGCGACAGTCTCGAAAAGACAATGTCGCGTTCGGATTAATTTAGGAGAAGAATGCTGTCATATAGCGATATCTTTGGGTTAAGGTACAGAAGGGTTCGACTACGAGAACTTTGTCAAAGAATTATTCGAACAAGTAGAATTTGTTGGTTCATAAATCTTCGTAGGGTGCGTTAAATTGCAACGTAAAAGGCCTATCCAATATATCGTTAATTTCGATTTTTCGTTCCAACGACCTCGTCCGTGACAATATAACGAGAGGCTACCGCGCATGTATCGAGAGGCGTAAACGAGATAAGCGATACGCGCTGCAAATTGGGTAAAGTTTGTAGGAGAGAAGCACGCGATATCGTTAAAAAATGAAATATCGCTTTCGTTCGTTCTTTTTTTGGTAGGAAGAAGAATGCATTATTAAGTGCATGCCTCGTTAGTAGCAGGATATACGTTCGATTGTTATCAACCGATGGAAAAATGGGGCAGGAATCAAGGGGATTTCGAACGGGCACGAGATTCAACGTGTAAAATAGGATTTAACCGATTAAATAATTTATCGTAGCCACTATGTACAATTAGCAAAATGACACGCGTTCCATCGGTGATTCGCGCGACTACACGGATTTCAGAAACGCAACAGCCATTTTGGATTTCGACTAAATCGAATTATGCTTTGGCGCAATGCATCAGGGAGAATTTACATGCCGACACGATTCGTTTTAGCCGTCGGGGGCCACGTTCACGAATTGTCGTCGGTGTAATGTTTTTTGAAGGGATTAGTTCTCGTTCCCAGGTTGAATTCCCAGGGAAATAAGTAAATAATCTTGCCGGCGCGTTTTTTATTCTCGTTATCGGCAAAGTGCAAATGATTCGGAAAATCGATCGAATCGAAAAGATTCGAGGTTTAATAACGTAATCGTCGATAATATATTGGAGTCTGCATTATATCCGAGCTGGAATTATATCGGAGCACCAGCGCCGGCAGAACTTGGGAAATAATGGTCGATAGAAATGTTCGAACAGTGGTAAAGTAATAGTATATACTGCAAAGTATAGAGCTAGTTAAAACTTAGTCGCAGAAACTGTTTGTGGTGTAATAGATATCGTTTCACGTTATGCCAGCTATCCAAGAACTTTGCTTCGCTTCATTGATGCGTTTCGCCGCTTCGAAGCTAAGAACGTTCGACCGATAATACGAATTTTCTCTATTTTTCTCTCGCTTTTTTCGCGTGAAACGTACTTTCGTATCGAGGCCGGAATATAGAGCCGCGTTCGATTCGTCACCGCGTAAGCGTGTAAACGTTGAACGGTTAATGCGATTAGCGTCCAAAAAGCGTCCCGTCATAATCCGCTGCGGCATTTAACTCGCACACTGGCACACGATACGAACGCGTACGGAAAACAAAACCGTTTAAGCGTTTGTATACCGTAGATTCTGGCGTCGGTTTGCCTCGCGAGCTGCATCGACCGTTTCGCGTCCAAAGGACAATGCCACTTTTTAGTAAGGAGAAAGAATCGGAAGGTTCCGTGCTCCTCTCTCGAAACTCCTGTGTACATGCTTTTTAATCGTTGATGGAATATTTTTACCCGCTGCCACGGATGGAAACATGCATATTCTAGAATAATTTTACGGATACAGAAACGCGTATCGACGAGCAGACTCGCATTTACACAGAGGTTTGGAAGGCTCCGCATTCGATAAAATTTATGATCGACTAGAATGTACAGCGTGTTTAATGTCACGACGATTTTCTCTACAACTTTATTTCTCCGTGCGAGTTCGCGATGTTATATTTATATGACCTTTTTCCGTCTGCAAGAAGAGCAGTGTACGCTACCAAAGTTCGCTAGTTTATTTCGATGTTATACTATGAATTTAGGAGAATATTTAGTTCAGGATTCGCGTTGAAGGATAACTGCGGATGACGTATCCGATGGCGAGTTAGGAAACTACTAGTGATAACTATTTGTGTAGAAAATTATATAAACTTCGATAAAAAAACACCGCGGACAACTGTGAAATTCGCGACTTCAATTATCGACATAATATAAATTAATTTATTCGGGAAACAATGTTAAAGTTGGGAGTAATCAAATTTCACAGCTAGTAACTGGTGTTGCAAAACGTAACATGTTCTCCCAATATTCGTTGAAAGTTAACTTTATTATATATCGGTTTGAAAGTTTGTCGTCGCTGTTCGTATCGGTTATTCGCGTATCTTTTTTTAACGGCTGCAGCACTGCCCACTACCGCGTTACTGCACAGGATCGCGAACGTTGTCGTATACAATCGGCAAACTGAAATCGGAAGAAATACGCGTATTAACTTTCGAGCGACAGTAGACTCTCGGATTATGTCAGGGAAGAAGACTACTGCGCTCGTACTCGATTAATTTCGAAATTTTAAGCTATACTCTAGCGCGTTCGTTTCCTGGATCGCGTAAGAGCTACGCAAACTCGATGCAGTCTTGACACAGCCAGGAATTTTTCACGGGTATGCCAACGTCGAGGCGATTTTTTTCGTTCTCGCCACGGCTTCTAAACCTTTTTCATTTATCTTCGCCTACTGCAGCTTAAGCAGCAATTTTACAGCGCGTTCTGCATGCGCTTGTTCCAGCAGCTCCGAGCAATCCCCTTAATGTATACTTTTTCTCACTGTCATAATTGAAGAGCCGTCCGAAGGTGCAACGTTTCCAAGGACCGTTGCTTTTTTCTCAGAAATTTTCGACACGACTCGCAGGTGGAAAAGTGGCGAAACGCGGGAAGCGACGATCGTTTACCGCCTTTTTTCCGGGAGTTTGCTTTCGCGCAAGTTTTCCAAGGGCGTTTTCACTCGATGTCCGAGTGTCGGAGCAGCGCGGTTGTCTGGCTGTTTTGCCTCTCGTTGAAAGCGAAAATTTGCGCGCAATTCGAGCGAAACGCTCGAGTGTTTACCTTCGTGTAAAACATTCGATGATTGGCAAATACGACGTTAACGCTTTTCCGCGCGGTGCACCGAAAATGTTGGAAAGCGCAAGGTGAACGCGCGTTGCAAACGAAACGATCAGACCGGCCCGAAAACGGTTATCCTTTCCGTCAATGTTTGCTCGCCATTAGTCCCATATATAGAAAACAAACATTCTCCTCTGACATCTCGACCACGAAAAATCAACTTTCCATTGGTCAAATTCTTCTTCGAAAATACTGTGGTCCTGTGCCGTGCTCGCTTAGCTGACATTGTCGCGATCTTTCGAAAACAATCTCATTGGTTATGTAAACGTACGCAAGAAGGCTCGATACTAGATTCTAAACCTAAGTCTAGGAAGAATATTAACCATCGGTGAACGTCCCGAATCGTTTGACAATGCTCGTCAAATATTTCTGATTTTTTTGCAAGTTCATACTCGTGTACGAAAGAAGAGGCAAATAGAAGGCGAAAGGGGATAGAACCATGTTTTATCCAGGATTTCCGAGGAGACTGGTTTATTAATGGTGTCTAGTTAATCACTGCCTTAAACGCGGGAATAGATAGGAATTTATTACGTCATCGAACCATGACTATTATAAAAGAAAAATTCGATTCTCGACTCGGGCAACCAATAATAAACGATCTCTAAAGGGCTTTAATGCTGCCGTAACAATACCAATAAGTAGCTTCATAAATCTTGAGCTACTCGTAAATTGATAGGAGAAGAGAATGGATGTACGTTCGTCCAGGGTCTGCTAATAGGTTCATCAGTAAAGCTAGCTAGCAGATTCGTGGCTCAGACGTGGGGATAGTTAAACTCTCCTCGGAATGTGTGTATATTCGGATGGATAGGTGGAGGAGGACTCGCGAGAAGATACATAGCGCGAATGATCCCTATAGTAACAACCGCGAGAATTACCGGTACGTTTTGTAGGAAAATAAAGAACGTCAGCGAGGTATTATATTTTTTTTTTGAGGAAAAGACACTTTTGTGGTTAGAACGATTTATCTACACGAGACAATTTGTCCAGATTATCTGCGATCTAAATCCACCTGATCGGTTTCAACGAGCTGCGGTAACGGTTGTCGCGTGCTCGTGCCATGTCTGATACATAACCCACGAGACATCTCTATCTCTGGTTTCTCCGTGTTTTCCTTTTTGACATCGCGATCAGCTTTCAAGCTGTCGCCCACTGAAAAAACTAGAGTATTCCGATCAAACGCTTTTCAACGAACGGTCAAACGCACCCTCGATCAACAACATCGTTTTCAACGAAATGATTCGCCGTAAGAAGGATCACGTGCTGCTTCTTTTCCTTCCAGTATTTTCTGACGAACCAAGGATCTCATACATTCGTGGTTCGTCTTCTACTTTTTCCTCGTCGGCGACGATCCGCGTGCATCAAAGCTACATAATAAATTGAATATTATATCCGCGAACACGACGAACAGACCCACGGGAGGAAAAGGTAGAAAGAGGATAAAAGAAGGAACAGGAGAAGAAGAAGAGAAGGTGGAAAGAGGAAAGAAGAAGGGACAGGAGGTCCTGGACCTGCGCCATGCGAGGCGAGCGTCCCGTCACGAAGCGTCCAACGCTCGACGTCTAGCTCGACGCCGTCAGTACACGCGTCTCGACGCCCGGGGATGCGTCCGTTGCCGGAAGCATAACGCGTCGCTCGTTTCGAGCATTGCTAACTGATCGTAATCGAACGAGTTTTTACTTTCGCTGTTTTTTATCGACGAGGAGTGCCGTTTCGATATAAAGGGAAAATACGGTATATACGAATGACACGGCGTGCTCGTTCGCGAGTATAATGCTACACTTTTCTCACGAGGTAATGTCTTAGGACGAGAGCTTTGAGAAAAGTTTCGCTCGAGAAAAACTACGGGATCGAACGATCTCGCGATCGATGTCGAACGATGGATACGTGTCGCGAGTGTCCATCGATCCTTAGATCATCGTTCGTGAAACTCTATTCTAAAATCGATGAAATTTTTATTAGAGATTCAGTGTCGTATCTTGATTAATATTCCAATAAAATGTGTATATTACTTTTACGTTGATACACGAGCTCAAAACGATCTCCGACTTCGATGTCATATTTTTATTAAAATCGTACGTTTGACGTTGATTATGAAATATGTATAAATTTTATCGGCGCTCCCTGTATATTTTCCAGTCAAGTACAGCACCGTGCAAGGATAAAATTAAAAAAAAAAAAGATGGAAAAATTTCGTGCTCGCTTTAATAATTTCTAGCAATTAAGCAATTTTGTAACGTATCACAGTGACGTTTTTAAAAAGAATTACCTGCAGATTTCCAAGTGAATTATAAAGATCATAGGTACGCGTGAAAGGGCTTCGCAACCGGCCAGTGATGACCGGACGTAGATTGATTTTGCGATAACAATTTGAAAATTGAATAGACGATAATCCGTGCAGGTGAATTCAATTTTCGATATTCGCGAAAATATTGGCCGCCCTTGTTTCCCTTCCATTCCTATCGAAGAGCAAATTCGCAAATGAAATGGCGTCGTGTTTTCGACCACTTTTCGAGCATCTCTTTTCGTTCGAACGAGAGAAAACGTGATCACGAAGCCACAATAAGATAGACAGGTAATTTTCACGGAAGTCCGATCATCGTTGGCGCTCGCAGCTAATGACTTTGTCGTCGTCTTTGACAGATCCGTCTCTGAAAAGGGATTCGTTATCAGGCAATACCGAATGAATTTTAATATCGCTTGAAACGTTGCGCCTTAGGTTTGCTGTTTATTCGAAGTATTCGAGAAATTTATACCGGAATCTCATTTCAATATTTACTTTAAATTTTGAACTACTCCGGGAAGAAAATTAATCGATTCGGTCGATGCTCCACGCTATCGTCGGTCTTGCTGAACTATTTGTATTTCATTGCATGTTAATTCGAAGAAAATAATTACTTTAACTAACGAGAAGCGACGAACAGATATTCAAAGATCTATCTAGGGAATCAATCGTTTTTATATTTCCATTGCATGTTTCGATGTACAACCGTGCAGTTTGGTTTATAGTCGATCCGGACAGGAAAAGCGACGAGAATATTCATGAAACGTTTACGTAGTCATTTTCGTCGAAGATTAAAGTTTTAACCGGTATAACGCGAACGGTACTTCGCGATACTTTTATGTCACGAAATCGTGCGAGACTTTCGGTGGTCATCACCGCAACAACTTAATATCAGAAACGAAGAAAGTCAGATACGGTTGTTTCGCGAGAGCGGATACTGCCTTTCAAGAACATCCCAGATAATTAATCTGTTTCTCCGGAGAATAGCCACGTATTTGCATAGCTACACGTATGCAAATGATACATGCCTCCTTCGTAGCGCCGTGTTCCAAAATTATTCTTCGGATTATGAAAGAGAGCAGGAGAGACGGGGAGGACTAAACGATTCAGCGAATGGAACGATCGTTCGAATAAATCTTTCCGAAAGCGTATAATCGCGTACACGTCTCGAGGAGGCTCTGCACTGGTTTCTTCTATTGGTTCAACGAGAGAAAGAAATTAAATCTTCGCGACATTCGACGAAATACGTCTCTCGTAAAAGAAAAAAATAAGAGGAAGTATCTCTGTCGTCGCGGAATAAAATTGTTCGCTATCCGAGAAGAATTTCGCGCAGGATATCGCGAGGAGAGAACGATCGAACGTGATCCGATTCATCGCGATTAAGGAACGATCGATCGGACGTCGATCAACCAGGAACCGTTTGGTCCCGCTAATACGCCGTTGTAATTAATGCTCGCCACGATTCTCGTTCCCGAAGAATGCTCGGAAAAATTACGAGTTTGCATTTTCGCTCTGATTATCCTTCTTCTGTCGGTCGGCAAACGTATCACCGGTTCTACGGGGAATTTAAGCCGCACCAGCCTAACGAGGAACCGGAGTTTTTCGCCTTTTTCCCCGGGATTACCGAATTATTAAAGAACGACAATTTCTAAGGGAAGAAATCGAGAGAATCTATCCACGAATCAACTTATTTCCACTACAATGCCGACGGCTAAGTCATTACGTTCATTCTTTCTGGCATTTGACGCGGAAGCAACCGCCAGCCAAGGCATTTCCGAACCTTTTAAATCGGTCATAACGTTTGCGCGATTCTTTTCGGAACAGACAATGTTTGCGGGTAAACAGTTCGTCGCGGTAAACACACGGAAGAGCCACGGAAATGGAATTTCGTCTCGAAAAGTGAAATCTCCATCGTTTCGATCCTTATATCGCCCGAACGGAAAGCTTTCGAATCAGCATGAAAATCGGATTTCCTTCGGATCTATCTCATAAAATTCGATCGGGATGCCCGGACCAGGTGTAGAGTCACGAATTAGGTGTTCCTCGGCAATCAATCGGAATACGCATTGATCAGTCAACTCTTTTACCGCGCATTGAATTTCTGCTCCTTTTCTGCTCTGGAGACGCGGACAAAAAAAGTGCTCGGCCCGCTCTCGCGCACGTCCATATATCTTTATATAAACGTTTCGAGTACTATGTAGTTTGTCCGCGTAACGAATACCGTGGGTTCGAATCGTTCTTTGTGCAACTGTCTCGTAAAATCAACGGAGGTCTTGACCGATTTTTGCCGAAGGATCATTCGTTAGATCCTTAGCTCGGCGGAACCATCTATCACGTTCGTCGTCAGCGAGATAAGACAAAGAGCTTATAATCTGACATTGGCCTGGAGGAAAAAGCTTGAAGGGTAAGGTTTTCGTGAGCGTATAATGGTATGTGGGAGGGTGTGCGAGCATGCGAAAGACTGTGCTTATGGTGGAAAGAAACAAGGCGCGTTTAACAGAGGACTAGGTGCAAGCTGGAGCAGACGGGGCAAAGAAGGAAAGACTTTTCATTTAGTCCTGTCGTAAATAAGAGGGAACAGTTGCTCCTTCGCATATACGTACACGCGTACATGCATATAGAACGTTTCAAAACGGATGTAGCCCGTGAAAATTGTGTCGGTAAATCATCTATGATAAACATAATCGAAAACTTCTATACTTAAAATCTCTTTCGTTGGTAGTTAGCGATGAAGAACCGCTAATTTCTAGACCGATTAAACAATTAAAGCGTACGTTATAATTTTTTCGGATCCGAGCACGATGAAAGACTCGTGGCTTTTTATTTCCAAGGAGAATTTCTAAAGAATTTTTCGATGTGCCCTGAATCGTGTTGTACAAAGTTTGCGTTTAATCGACGCTAAGTTCTGGCAGGGCGATTGAAGTGTACGGTTTTCTAAACGGCCGGCATAGTTATTTACGAGAATGGCGTAAAGGATCATTGTTCCACGTTTCCTTGGCCAGAGGAACAGTCGAGAAACGTACGAGCAAAGTCCCGATAGCCGCAAGTTCCGATCTCTCTCTTTCCGAGTAGCCACGTACATTACGTGAAATTGCGCGAACTTGGAGCCGCTTGTACGTCGCTTGACAAATGTATCGATCGAGAAACGGAGAGCACCGAAACAAATAATAACAGGAATAAAAGAAAAAAAGGGATAAAAAAGAATCGACGCGGCGCGGCGGCCGGTACAGGGAGAAAGAAACAAACAGCTAGAGGAGTTTCGAAGAGGGTAGCGCGAGTGATGGCTAAAGGAGAGGGAGAATAGGGAAGGGGTGAAATAGATAGAGAAAGAGTGGGAGTCATTATTATTGTTCAGGTTTCTTTTTCTTCCTCTTGCAGAATGAGGGTGGCACGGCTATTACTGTGCTACGTACTTCTCGAAGACTACAGTACCAATCTCGGCGGGGCTGCAATTACCAGCAACGCCGTGCGCCAGGACGCCTCTGCGACGAATCCCACGCTACCAGGTACACCTTCCACTACACATCTACTTGTTTTCGTGCGTACGCGGATCGAAACGCATTGTTTTCTGCCTCGAAAGGAAACGGGACTCGGTCAACCGCTAAATGATCCTAACTCCGGGCGAACTATTTTCCGCACGATTCCTGTCTTACCGAAAAAGAAAAAGGAAATTAATTTCGCGCGCGAGACTACATTAAATCGAATCGACAATTTTCCCCCGTAAGCAACAATAGACGTAACCGTGCAAACGATTTCGTGGCTGCAGTTCGCGTGTGCATCGGTGATAACTAACTTTGACCAAACTTCGGAAGCCGATGACTCTGTTGCCCAGTCGCGTATTATTCCCGAGGGACTCTTCGTTTCCACGACGCCTCTATCGTTCGTTCGATTTTCATGTTTTTCTTTTTTTTTTTTCGTTTTCCACTCTTCTTTCTCTCTGCTCGTTTTCTGTCCCCTTTCTTCTCTTTGTCCCGTTCTTTTTTCTTCTCTCCCTCTCGCTCTTTATTTTTTCTTTTTCCGCGGAAGAGAGAACGGTGGCACACAGGCGCTCGAACTCGTCGAAGTACACACGTCAAAGAGTTTAATTACCAGGGCGATTTCGCGCGGACGCAGGGCATCGGTCGAATTACCTAATCGCGGTTTCATTCGGCTTCAGCCCGTTTCGAGATCCATGCTTCGTACATTTCGTACACCGAACGTTTTTTGTGGAACAACGCAAAAGTCACGGTTTTTGTTCCGTTTCTGTTCGCTTTGTATTTTACATGGTCAATAGTTGAAATCAAAAGATTTGCGTAGAAAATTATTATGACCTTTCTCGTTGAAAATCGATCTCGAAAGCGATATAAAACTCTAGTTTCCATATTAGAAATATTATCGACGAGAAATCAGTTTTTGACGTTTCGCTCTTTTTCCTCAGATACATGTACAATTTAATAAGCGTTCCAACACTGTGAACTGCAATATCACGTGCTACGGAGCAGAGAAATCGAACCGTGTTGTCGTCGTTTCGAGCAAAATGATTCGTTTGCGAGTTTCAGAGAAAATTGCTGATTGCTTTGCAGATTTCTCGCATTGTCGCTTCAAAGAGTTTATCGTTCGTTCTTGGACCGCTCATAGAACGCTTGACGGGGGACGCTTTAAATCAATTAAGAAAACACGATGGCCTCGATCGTTGTCATGACACTTTTCCTTGCACGGTTCAATGGTTTCTAATTACGCGCAACAATCGATTCATCTCTTCGGGAACTTTCGATACCCCGCAACGCAGCAAACACCTTAAGTTTAATTTAAAGTTTCGCGAGCTAGATGTTGCGTTTGAAACAAAGTTTGAGCGATTTCGAGAAGAATTTCCAGGTTTTTCGTGGTCGTTGAGAACCTTCATTTTACGCCCTTCCAATTTTCCATCACCTTCTTCATCAACTTTAACAACATTACGAGCATTGTATCCTGTTATATCCCGAAAATCATTAAGGATACATTCTTCTGGAAGTTTTCCCCAGAAAAACGGAATCCATTACGTTCGCGTTTCACGAAGTATCGCTGGTCTATTTACGAGCGTAATACGATGTTTCGTTGATTACTCGTTAGAGAGGAAGTAGAAAGCGTAACGGTACGAGATCAGATAAGGGGTTACCGCAGCGGTTAGCGATTGTACACAGCCATAATGGAACTAGGTAGCATCTTAGCGTAGTAGGATGGTGCTGTGTAACGGGAACATAATGTCCTCCGAGAGGTGCTAAGTTGGCAATGGTATGTCGACCGAGCTGCTAGATAAAGGCTGGGTGAGACACGACTGATAACGGGGGTCAGAAACGCGGTTATAAGAAATGAGTAGCGTGGAATGGTAGAACAAGAGACGAATGGAGACCGTTCAACCCTTTTGTTAAGAACCGGTGATTATGGTAGTCGAGGAACCGTAACATTTAAATGCTCGAGTAAATTTCGCGCGTAAATGATTACTTTTTTGCCGACTTAACTCGTTCCTCGATAATTATATCGAATTACCCTGGCGAATTTCTAGATTTTACCGCGTTAATCGCCGCAACAACCGTACGTAAACGATCAACCGGTAAAAATTTCTACACCTTTCGTTCGTGTTTTCTGCTAAGAGAGGAGCAAGGGGAATAAGTAACACCGTCTCTAGTGTACGTTTATTTCCAACGTGTCAAGTTACAAGAGTTTCAAGAAACAAATAACGCGACAATTGCTACAAATAGCTCGTGTACAATTTACGAGAAATGCTACTGCATCTCCTGTTATTTATTTCTGTACCGATAACACGTTTTAAATGGAAAAGAAATCTAAAAGCATCGCCACCTCGCGAACTCGCATCGAAGTTGAACTAAAAACGAAGAAGCGAACGCGAAGAAGTCGCAGCAAAACATTTGAACCTTTTGATCGAATGATCGCGCTCTCTGCTGACTCGATCTCTCGTACGATTCGAACAAACTCGCGACGTAACTTGCCAGAACGGGACAATTTCGCAGAAAAGACCCGTTCGAGATTAGTCAACGAGTTCCCTTTCGTTCGAGTGAAATTATTCGAGTCTGGCATCGCGAAGCGTTTCGTGTCGTACTCGTTGACGCGGGAAACCATTGAAAATAAACGGAAAGCGAGCAAGTTTCGTGGAAAGCGCGACCAAACCATGGAAGAAAGACGCAGAAGAAAAGGAGAGGGGCCACCGAACGACGACTACGGCGACGAACGGTGGTGAATGTCCCTGAAGTTGAAGTAGTTCTACTTGCTTCTCTACCCTCGACTCTCAGCCCCGGTTGCTGAACTCCCCGGGCTCTCGGTAGGGCCCGTGCCGGTTACTTCAGCAAGTTTTTCCTTTGAGGATGAAAGATATTAATTAAACTGTCACAGACACGGTAGCAGGGAGCCTCTAACTTTATTTCGCCACTTACAAGTTTACCGCTTAAGCGGTTTGCTCGCGTGCACGCCAGCTCGACGCCGATCTTATCCCGTAAGCATAGCAGCACGGAGCCGGTTATGAATGCGAAGTGACCCCTGGAGAGCAGCGTGCGATGCGCGACTAACGCGTTCGTTTCCCTAACGTACCACCCGTCCACCTTTACCCTTTCGGTCGCTTCTCCGCCGTCGAACGAAAGAAAATGGGATATCAGGCGAACGAATCGCCGCAGCGTTTTGTCAGACTGCCTCCTTCGCCGAGATCGAATGCCACCACACGCTAGCCACCCGCGATCGATTGCCTTACCCTTTTGTGAAAATTTCATTCCGTAAGCAACGCATTAATTTCGCGTCGATTTATCGAGCAACCAGCTCGTTTCCTTTCTTCGCGGACATTTTCAAATCATCGACATTTTTATACCGGTTCCGTTTCGAGAACGAGTAATTTAGCGGCATACGTTGGGGACGAAGCTGTCGAATTGAATTTTCTGCCCGATATGAAATGGAATGTAAAATTACAAAAGTCGTGGATTCCAAGAAAGACGCGGAAACTGTGAGCCGACCTTCGAGGATCCAAGAGATTCGCAAAGTTGAGACCAGTCGAAGGAAAGTCGTTATAACCAAGAGAGCCGCGATTCGATGGATTAGCGGGAAGCTTTATTAATCAGTTCACCCCTTGATGATTTATCTTCCACCCAGGACCCATTTGAATTTCAGTTCTGGTCACGGAGAAACTACCGGGAAAGCGTCTATCTCCTTGGATATTGGCTCCGGCTAACTTTAAGGCGTTAGCGTTAACCGCGTTGATAGATGTTGAACTCTCGTTCCAATAAATAAATATTGTCACGGTGACTCGACGGAATTGCGTTCCTCGAAGGGGACAACTTCATTTACCGGCGTAAGGGTGAAACTTTCAATCTTTGGACAATTCATCCATCATAAGATTATCCAGGAGACGATACAGGTTCACAAAGTACTCGGATATTGTTAGTCTTATCAGGAGGTTAGAGTTTCCAATAGTTTCAGCCGCGTGTTATACGACCAACAATTATCGTCTTATTCGGCTTTATCGAACGCGAAACTCCCAGCTCTGTTGTTCCCAGGCTCGTGCCTGTGCCGGTATATGTTGACTGCGAATATGGATTCCAGCAACAGGCCATAGAAAAATCCAGCGTGTTGCTGTTAACGTTTACAACGGATGGGCAATTTAGTTACGTAATGGCCGTGGGTTGATAGTTCAACTCCCGAGCATTGCGTACCTATTGCATACTCGCTGGAGCAAACGTCCTGACCTCTCTACGGCCGAGCGTTCTATTCAGGAACGCGAATTCGATCAAATTTTCTCTATCGTCGCATCGTCACGCGTTAACCTAACCGACGTGATCTCGAAGACTACGTACAGAACCTGATCTATGTTTTTCTTAACACTTTCCACGATAATTTCGTTGAAAAATAAAATAGTTTCGCGTATATTTTGAACTATTTTATTATAATGCTCGGCACCTCGATACTTGAAGGCTAAATCGTCACGCGTGTGTGGGTGTTCTGGTCGAAGCGTACGATTTTAAACGGCAGAGTTAACAAACTCTGCGCCCGGTGTTCTCGAATATCGCGAGTAACAAACACGGCACGTTCGTTATTAAAAATACTCCGAAAGAGCTCGTTCGAATTAAACGGATAGTTTGCCAAGCGGATATCCGATCTTCGATATATCGTATCGAGCCAGATCGGTTTACCTCGCCCGGAACTCACAATTAAACCGTCAAAGTATCAAAACCATGCTCGTACCCGCATACCTGACGACGCTAATATCGCAAACATCCGCACGACAAGAGCAGCTGGAGGTGGAGAAGGAGGAGCAGAAAGCGTGCGTTACAAGACGACGAGATTGATGTTAATTAGTAGCGAACAATGCGCAGATACGTGGCAGCACGCGTACCTGGAATGCGTAGAGAAGCGTGCACGCGCGCCTGCAGGAGAGGGTAGTTCAGAAGGCAGTTACAATGTCGTACTCGCGTACCGGTTGTAATTTTCTTACGTCTTAAGGACACGCTCCACTGCGGCCTTACGTGTACAGCGACGTTATTAGAAGTCG